ATCTCTTGGTAAGCTGGAATTTTCTGAAGAGCAAGTATTGGCCTATTAGTGAACACTAACATCTGTCCCCCAGGTTTAATTTCATTGATCTTATTAGAGTGGCCTCCATCTGGCCAAATACWGGCATCTCTATTATAGGTGTCTGCAGGACGTGTCCTAGGCTCCTTATAAATCAAAGAGAGAATCCATTTCTTCTGCCCATCCATATGGGTGGGATTCAGCTCCCAGACAAGACACCTACCTCTAGCAGCATTATTYGGTTGCCCAGCTGTGGATAGAAAAGAAGGTGATCAAGAGTAGTCAGCATGGATTCACCAAGGRGAAGTCATGTTTGACAAACCTGATTGATAGCCTTCTATGATGGGATGACTGGCTGGATGGACAATGGGAAAGCCATGGATATTTTCTACCTTGACTTCAGCAAGTCTTTCGACACATTCTCTCATAATATCCTCACTGGAAAGGTCTTGAAGGGTGGGTTAGATGAGTGGACAGTGAGTTGGATTGAGAATTGGCTGGATGGCAGAGCTCAGAGGGTGGTGATAAATGGGGCCRAGTCCAGTTGGAGGCCTGTGGCCAGTGGTGTCCCCSAGGGGTCAGTGCTGGGCCCGGTGCTGTTCAATTTGTTCAKCAATGACCTGGACGAGGGCACRGAATGCACCCTGAGCAAGTTTGCAGATGACACCAAGAGAGCAGCTCCACRGAGAGGGACCTGGGAGTCCTGGTTGACACTAAGTTACCCATGAGYCAGCAGTGTGCCCTCGTGGCCAAGAAGGCCAATGGGATCCTGGCCTGCATCAGGAGGAGTGTTGCCAGCAGGTCAAGGGAGGTGATTCTGCCCCTCTACTCAGCAATGGTGAGGCCGCACCTGGAGTACTGTGTTCAGTTCTGGGCTCCCCAGTATAKGAGGGACGTGGAGCTTCTCGAGAGGGTCCAGAGAAGGGAAACTAAGATGATTAAGGGACTGGGACATCTCTCTTGTCAGGAGAGACTGAGATGGGCCCGTTTAGCCTGGAGAAGAGAAGGCTGAGAGGGGATCTGATCAATATGTCCAAGTACCTGAAGGGTGAATATARGGAGGATGGAGCTAAAGTCTTCTCAGTGATGGTCAGTGATAGGGCAAGGSGCAATGGGTGTAAGTTGAAACCCAGGCAATTCCGTCTGCATGTCAAGAAGAACTTCCTTCCTGTGAGGGTGACAGAGCCCTGGAACAGGTTGCCAGGAGGCGCTGTGGAATTTCCTTCTTTGGAGATCTTCCAAACCCACGTGGATGCGCCTTTGTGCCCTGTGCTCTAGGTGTCCATGCTGGAGCAGGGGGTTTGGACTAGGTGATATCTAGAGATCCCTTCCATCCTTAACCATTCTGTGATAACCAGAGCCATCTGAGATATGCTGGGGTATCTGTCATGTCCATATGAGGCTGGCAGGTAACACACAGCACCTAAGAGAGCTGAGCTGTTCTGCAAAAGGTACTGGAGGCCAGGAGAGTGCCCACAGGGGATCTCAAGTGTCACCAGATGAGCGTGTTYAGGCAACTAACACACATCCATGGAGTCCTGGGAGCTGTGGCTAACCACAGGGACATCTACTTCAGTGTGAGATGCTCTGCAGGCATCCATSGCGTTATCACAGGATACAAGCACCAGTTCAACGTCAACTCCCAGGGCTTTACACCACCTACATGCTGGCTGGCAGGCTGATTCCAGTGTGAGGAGATCCAGCAGCTTTGCAAGCAAAACAAGGCTGGTAGGGGAGTGGGAAAACGCCTCTGAGTCCTGCACAGAGCTGGCTTGAAATACCTGAGGCCATGAGCTGCTCAGCCTTGCAAGGCCAATCCTGCTCCCTCCTCTTTGCCTGCTTCTGTGGAACAATTAGGAAGAAATACAGAAAAGCCTTTCAGCTAACGAAAAAAAAAAAAAAAAGATAGTCATTTTTGCCACTTCATAGGGATTTTGGGTGGTTATTCTCCTCCAAGCAGCAATCGTTAAAAGCAAGCATCAAACACCAAAGAGGTCAACAGCTCGTCTCAGAAACAACAACAGTATTCATCAGTCCCTGGCACGGTGCATGAACCAGGAGGATAAAATCACTTTAAATCCACATTTTGCCCGTACAGAAATTGGGAGTGAGAGGAATCCCAAATCCCCCAGGTCGAGCATTAAAAGCCCRGAGCTCCCGTGAGGAGAGGTGTGATGCATCCCAAGGCATTTGGAATGCAGCTGGGAGCAGCGCGTGGGAGCACCAGGGCCTCGGGTCGGCACACTCTGATGCATCGGGCAAAACATTTYGTATGCTATTTCCAAACTAACATAGAGTGTCACCTTCACAGTTYTTTACCCCAGACACAGCTGCATTTCAGTGACGAGGGAAATGGCCTCGTTAGAGAAGAGTCAGATCTACATGCTATAAAAAAAAAAAAGAAATCATTTTGAGCTACCTGTATAAAAAGAGATTTGTTAAGGCAAGGGGAAGAGGGAGGTTTTTCTTCTTACTGTGATACATTAGCAGGAGCCTCATGCAAGTGTCACTGAGAGAAGCAAGATCAGAAACAGATGTGGAGCATAGCTACGAACAGGATGTGAAAATAAACTCATTACCCCATCTGCCCACCGTAAACAGTRTGAAATTGGCAGCAAGCAACGAACGAAAATCCAGACAAATGGTCTTTTAAAGAGAGCAGAGGGAGCTGGAAGTTCTGCTGTTAGAAAAACAGAGGCACGGAAAGCCCAAGACCCAAAGAACCCATTACACAGCCCAAAACCCACTGACCTGAGATGAGTCAGGGCAGAGGTGCAGAAAGTTCTCACAGTGCAGAGGCTCCAAGGGGCAATTTTTGAAGACCATTCTGTCTTTGGGGGAGATCAGGTTTTGCTTTTGTCCCTGCCTGTGAGGAAGCCCCATCTATTTCACCAGTCACGGAGATTTGTTTTTTTCCCCGAGAGGAACTGTCTTAATGGTGCATAAAATTACTCTCTCGGGGGTAGTGTGAGGAGAAAAACGTGGTGTTATGTTGTCTCCGTTGCAAAGACATTGCTAACAATAAAAGCCCCTGAATGATTTGGTTCTTAAGTGACATGATTATCGAATGGGTCGTTCGTGAYGCTCCAGTTAAAGTTGCTTCGAGCACCTCTGTCATAATGTCCAAACGGGACTGTTTTATGCTTTCAGCTTAGGCTCTAAATATTCACCCCTGGCCTTTGCTCGGTGAAGCAAGACTCAGCTTAAGGATATATTTACTTAAAATTTTGCAGGAAAATTTCTCAAATGGTCAATCTGCGTGATTTATTTAAAGTGGGATCCCCAAAGTATTTTACAGCTTCTACAGGCTGGCTGTGTTTATAACCGTCCTGGGGAGTATCTTCTGCAATTCATGTAGCGGAGAGGGGAAAGGAGGGTCATAATTTCTATTTTAACCTACTTTTCCAGCTGCTGACATGGCACTGACAAAGTCATATCTCCCGGAATGAAATCCGCCATGCTTTATTTTAGTCCAGAGGAGATTGTTTGGAGAAAGCTGGGGCACAATCTGCCCCTATATTTCTCAGTGAGGAACATAACTCAATTTTTTTTTCTTTTTCTTTTTTTCTTTCTATTGAGTCTTTTTAGAAATGTTGTGCATGGAAAATTCAACAGTATCTGAAAATAGAGATTTCAGCTTCAGCTTTCTAGGTCTCAGAGAAATTGCAAAACAAATGATGTTTCAGGAAAAGAAATGTTCCTTGGGTTCATATTTCTTTAAGATCTGACAGTCTAAAACAGTTTCCTACAGGTTGCAAACTGTTTCTCTCTCCAYATTTTGGCAGATCCAAAAAGGTTTTGAGAGCTAAGTAAGCCAGGTCTATGAATAAATAAGGGGTAATGGAACTCAAAAATCGAGGTGTTTCAAGATTTGAGACAACTGAAAGCTTGATGTTGACCATGAGGCACTTCCGAACAATCTGGAGGAAAATAAACAAAACCAAAATTAACAAAACCAAACTCCAGCGCTGCCTTCATCAGCAAGAGCAACAGAAACAGCTCCTTGTAAACCATAATGCTGTGACTGCYGTGGGAAGAGATATTGCTAGCCTGGGCTCAAGGAGTGAACTGGGGGGAATAGCAGGGTTAAGTGCAGGCAGAAATTGAGGGCATCGGAGTTAGCAGGTGGAAGGAGAAAAAGAAAGACTACAGAAATTGATAGATTCCTGTAGAGAGTAGGAATCTAATGAAGMCCTTGGTGGTGAAGATCTGGGTGCCACATCTCTCCCACAGAAGATTTTTAATCAGTTTTCACTAAAAGCAGACCTTAGATGCCCTCAAAGATTGGAAGCCTGTACTCAGCATGATTTCCCCTCTGTGCCACTGGTGTCCTACTAGCTACTCTCTGAAGTAGAAGGGAAGCAGAATGATGTGAGGGATAATCACTTCCTTTGGGAAGAGTTTGAGAAATCCTCCTTCAAGGTCTTGATAGCAGCTTATGTTTTTCTAGTACAGTAGGATCCGAAATGATGTAATATACATTGGGACCAATCATCTCCTTCCCTAAGACAGGTTTCCAACTCTGTCATAGCCCAAATAGTGGTGCAGCCAAGCTTGATTCATGCCAACATGTTGTGTTTGGGGTGCAAAATGACAAGGTATGCAGTGTCTCCTTCACATCCCTCTGAGCTCCTTCCACCTGGTCCTGCTCCTCCCTAAAGTTTCTGTGCAGAGGTGCAGCACACTTATTTAGTTGGCCGGTTGCTATCAGTCCTACCAGGATGGCAAGTCAAGAGTAGGATGGGAGAGTCTAGATATCTGCAAGGCATTTACTCTCCAGTTGGGGAGACCACCATGTTATCTGCCCATTTAAAGCCTTCAAAAGCAGGGTCACTGCTTGTCTGGTGTATGGTGATGAAGGGAATTTCTGTCTTTGTGTGTGAAGCAGACATCCTAGCCTGGTGCAGCCTTGAAGAGGAGCAGTTCATTTCCCACATGAGGTTGCTCCATCATCTCACGGTCGTTCTCCATTTCTCTTGCAGAAAGTATGGCAGAAGCTGTCGGCTCGGGCAGGGACTGCCTTCAAGCAGGAGAGTCCTGCACCAATGACCCCATCTGCAGCTCCAAGTTCAGGACCCTTCGGCAATGCATTGCGGGCAACGGAGCCAACAAGCTGGGCCCCGATGCCAAGAACCAGTGCCGGAGCACGGTGACAGCCCTGCTCTCCAGCCAGCTCTATGGCTGCAAGTGCAAGCGAGGCATGAAGAAGGAGAAGCACTGCTTGAGCGTCTACTGGAGCATCCACCACACACTGATGGAAGGTCAGTCAAGGAGCGGGGGTCATTTCCTTCAGGTCTTCCTAAAAGGGAGGAGTCACAGCAATAAGAACTTTCTGCAATATGAACTTTCTGCAGCAAAGTAGAGGGCAGAAAGGTCTTTGCTGTATGATCCCTTTCCATTTTAGGACACATTGATCCATGCAGTAATGGCATTTTGAACCCTCGCCCTTTGGCCAGGATTGAAGGGGGAACGGGATCTCCCAATCTCATAATATGGGGGTCATTATATAGAAAACAAGAACCAGCCCTTGCTTTGAACCTAAAGTTAAAAAAAAAAAAAAAAACGGAATACCTGGAATTTCACTTTGAGAAAGACCAAGATGTCTAGGGTGATCACAGAACAGCTTATCCATAGGTCTCTCTTGGGCTATTGGGACACATCTCTGCCTTCTTTCTAGATTGAGGAATACCCACCTGCTCTGGCCAGGGTGAACCTAGGGTATGGCCCTGTAATGCTGCAGGAGGAACATGACAGGAAATATGGCGAAATTCGGTAAATTTATTCTCTTTGAGAATGGAGATGTCCTTTATCAATTCAGACATTATAATAAGGTTGAAATCCTAAGGTTCTGCCTTTCATTTTTTTTTTTTAGTCTGGCCTTTTTCATGATGTTCCCAGGATGCCTTGAAATCTTTTTCTGAAGAGATACAGGGCATGCAGAGTATGATTTTCATTTAAATAGATGTTAGCCAAGACCCTGAGAGCCAGAGATTTTATAGAAACACTAYATAAAGTCTAGGCACCGAAGAAAAAATATTGTGAACTTAGAAAAAAATCTCAGAAGATTGCAAGTGCCCCAATGTCTTTGGGACAGAGAAGATTTGAAGCAAGTGACATCAACCTGGAATTTAAACTGTGCCCAGAGCYAATAGTTAGAAAGTTTGGATTTTGACATTTTTTAAGAGTCATCATAAAAACACAGCTCAGTGACCATAACTCTTCCATGTCAGGCTGGTGAGTATTTTATGCACCAYGAAAATTAAAATGGGGAATAAAACAGAACCTTTCAACCACAGGCTGAGAAAAAGACTAATAAAATGCGACCAGTTGAAAGTTGAAAGGAAAGGTTCAGGGGTGATAAGATAAGCCAAAAGGCCAAGTAAAACAAAGAAGATGAAGAAATAATGCCCAGGCTTACCAGGATGGGAACAGCTCAGTCAGGTTCCTGGAAAGCTTTCAGTACCAGAGCTTGCAGGGTGGTGAGCTCAGCAATATGAACTGATGGGGAAATAGGAAGTCTCATCACCTAGGATCCAACCCTTTTCCTAATTGCTTACCAAATKAGTTTATTATTTGCATTGATGCCTCGGAAAGTGGTGGTAGTCTGGCTTCTCCATCCCTCTCAAGAATTTGAATCCCARTCCTCCATCATGTTTTTATGTTGGAGACTTCTGGACCCAGATCTTGTTTGATTCAACATTTTTTTTTTTCCCCTGTTTTTGAGTAGAGAAACTCCAGGTGCATCCCAGGGGTCTGAGATCCAGGTGTGAACAGTGTGGCTCATGGGGGACCATAAGAGGGTTGTTTCTGGAGACCAAGACTCTCTCCTCCACTTCTCTGTTTGCTGTGGTGCCCTGACCCCGTGCATTTTCAAAAGTGCCAGGTTCATTTGCAATGCTGATTCACACTCCCAGACCTTTAATTTCCCTGGTTTAATTTCCCGGGGGAAATATATTTCATAATAGTCACATGTCCTGAAGTCCTTATACATGTTTAATTGACTGAGAAAGGCAGCCAAGCCGCGTGCTCTGTTGTAGGGCTTAGTCTTTCAGTCCTACCTACCCAGGAGGATGCAAAAAGCTTCCTAGAAGCCCTCTTATAAAATCAATCGTGGAAGTGCGTGCTCGGGGAATTTACAAAGCATACTATTTACTCTGCTTCTCTGGAACGYGCCCGTGTTTAGCCACCTTCCCATTTGGAGACACAATAACACGATGACAACTCGATAACAATTCTCTGATAAGGTGCTATATCATCAGGACATAAAACTGCTACGCCGGAACATACAAATGGGCCCCTCTCCAGTCAGTAACGACGCGAGATATTTCAAGGAAGGTGTAAAGCTGCCTTGTAATGCACCTGTGGTAATTGCACTGGGCTGTGTACCCTGGGAGACATTTCTTCCTGACCGCAGCTGGTGATCAGCATATGCCCGGAGCAGGAGGTTTGATAGTCCTTTTATCCCAGCCAGTACATCTGCTGCCTCTGTCCGTACCCATCTAAGTGTCTAATAAAAAGAAATGATGCTGAGGTATTTGCTTCAATAATATTCCGTGGTATTCATCAGGATGATGGGGCATTACAGACCATTGAGCGGATGAAAGGGAAGCACCAATTGATTAAAATTAGCTCTCCTGCAACTTAAGAATTAAGATGGGGAAGTTTTGGACAGAGCTGTGGGTCATTAGCTCCACGTCAAGTAAGAAAGGGCTGTTGGCAAGGAAAAGGAGTGAGGTGTTAACAAACATGAAGGCTTGTGCACTCACACACATTCCCATGCACAGCCTTGCCTGTGCATATTTCTTGCCTTCACCACAAATACACAGGGACAACTGACCCAGGGAAGGCCATCTAGAAAACAGCAAGAGTGATAGAAATGGGGTTAGAAATGAACACACGTGGGCTGATAGAACCACATGCATGCAGGGAGTTGATGGCTTTAACTCTCTTCATGAGCAAGAACCTGTGTCTAAGAGGCAAGCCTCGTCAAGGGACCAAGGACTTGAGTTGTCCAAGGTCACAGCTGAGCATATCTCTGAGGGGTTGCCCTTTGCCAAGGCTGTGGCATATCTTTAAAAGCTATTTGGATCCTCTTCCCTACTCGACAGCCACACTCAGTTCTTATGACTATGAGTAGCCACTCACCTATGGCCTTTAGACTGGAGCAACATCCTCTTCACCCCACCGAGCAAACAGCCCCTGGCTGTGCTGAGCTTCRTACATCTTGGGCATCTCCCGAGGTCTTGGTTGCCTTCTCAACAACTTGTCCTTCCTTTATGCCAGGTATGAATGTGTTGGAGAGTTCTCCTTACGAGCCATTCGTCAGAGGCTTTGATTACGTCCGGCTGGCATCTATCACCGCAGGTAGGTGGGTGGGAAGATGCTCACTTAAAGACTTGTTTGAAGTGTTGGCTGTGGGATCAAGATCTACAGACAAGAGAATTCTCTGTGGTCTCTTTTTGCTCAATAAAAAGCATTGCATGATTCAGGTCTTCCATTTACTTTTCCAAAGMGTTGTCTATGATTCCTGGGCTAAGCTGTTGGTAGAACATAGTCTCAGAAGAAACCCTTGTGATTTTTGTCCTTTGGCCATTTCACTCCTGCACTATGAAGGGCTGGGACTAAGGGAAGAGACATGAACCTGTGAGTCTAAAGCCAGGTCAGCTGAGGTAGAAGGAATTTTACTGTCAGATGAACCATACTTTTTAGGAGCTCATCAGACAAGAAAAATGCAAAATCCTCCAACTTTTTATGAGGAGGAGAACTGAAAAAAAAAAAAAAAAAAAAAAAAGGAGGAGGAAAGAGAGAGAGAAAGAAAGAAAGAGGGGAAAGAGAGAGGAAAGGGAGTAGAAGGTACAGAAGGAGGGAGGGGTGGAGGAAGGTAAGAAGGTAGAGAAGGAGGGAGAGAGGGAGGGAGGGAGAAGGGAGGAAGGAAGGCATATCTGGGGAGGCAGGATATTTCATCTCATGCCCTGCTTGGACTTTAAGGTCTCTCAGTCAAGCATTTCCATTCCCAGATTGCTTGCTTTAGCATTGTCCCTAACATCTTGATGTATTAGGATATCCTCTTCAAATGATGTAGATTCTCCATTGCAGGCGAATCATCTGCGTGATGCAGAAACATGCCAAGAAGGTTATGATCAGGTATTAGAAGGCTCTTGAACATCAGTCACAGGGCCAAACTCGGCAGTCAAAACAGTCAATAACCYGCCCTACTGCCCATATCCCAATCACAGCATTCAGCCCCAAGCCCCGAGGGAACTCAGATCTGTGTTCTGCTCAGCATCACGTAATCCCCTTAATAAAGCAAGCAGAGCTGCCTGACACCTCTCAGCCCTCTCGTGGGCATGAACTCTGGGCTCAGCAGCTAAAAGGGCAGCGTGGTAGCTATTAAGGCATCAATCACTAACATCACAGCTGCCAACACAACTGAAGCTCAGCTCTGCTTATGCACCACAACTGTGGGGAAGCTTTAGTAGCATTGTTTTCTGTTACCAAATTACCTGTCTGGGAGCAGGTATGCTGAGCATGCCTCTGATAAGTTCTCTCCATGTGTGGTGTGGTTGCTGACCTTCAGACATCCTCAGATGGGATTAGGAGGAGGAACCATTAGATAGGAGTGGAGAAAAAGCAGCCAGGGCCTCCTTGTTCCCTCAAGGCAGTCAGGTCTTTATGGTCTTTACCAAACATAAAGATTTTATGATTATATGATTCTAAGCAAGGGAGATGAGCAGTGGCAGATGGGACAGTGCCAGGTGACAGCCAAGCTCTGCACGGCTAGATGTGCCCAAACATCACTCCTGTTGCAGCTCTTCCCAAACTGGCACCTGGCTCTGGGTTGGTGCATCCAAGCGAGCAAAGAGCAAGACGTCCCTGTAGCTGGCAGATGTCCTCAGTCCCTGCAACGGCAGGGCACTCGCTAGGTGGAAATGGCCAGGAGAAAATTAAATCATCGGCCTTTGACAACCTGAACGTGGTGAGGGGAAGGGGGAGAGGTTCGCCCTGACCTCATCTCTTGTTTTTGTCTCCACTTGAATGGTTTGAACTGGAGCACGCACGGAGCTGCTTGCTGGGTCGTGGCCTTCTCTACCAGAGTGTTCCCCTTCTGCTGGAAGTCCTGCAGGGCTCTTTGGAGTGAGGAGACCTCCAGGGATGGAGGCGCTTATGCATGACTAACCTTGCCAGGTTTTTTAACGCAGACCAAAACTGGCTGGGCAGCAAAGCAAACAGCCCCAAAGCAGCCGAGATATATCCCAAAGGAGTCAGCATCCATCCGGGGACATCACACTTGGGATTTTTTTCTTTGTTTGTTTCTATTTATACTCATCAATGCCTTCTATAACAGTGTGTTACAACCTGCTGCCTTGCATCTCTCCAGCGCCCAGATTTACAGGATCAAGGTCACTATTGCATCCGCTTTCACATCTCAAATAAAAACATCCTAGAAATGCGGTGAAACATAAGGCATTCACATGACCCCACACCAAGTCAGAGCTACAGATATTTTAAGCCTAGTGTTGCATAAATAATATATGGCCCCCATTAAAAATGTACAAATGGAATTACATCTCTCCACCTTAATTGTAGTAGTGATTTTAAAAGTACATCCTTCGTTGTTGCGGGGGAAGAGGAGAAAAGCTAGCGTGTTCACTCTGATTCATTAGCTGAATGGATAATGAAATCGTTCCCAGCAACTGTTTCCTACACACTCACTGACAGCTCCCCAGTGTAAACTGATGCTCTAACAAAATTAATCTCTGGGCATTTTTAAAGRGAAATATCTGCACTGGTAGGAAGGCACAGAGCAGGAATTTCACCCGTCATAAAACAGCTTCATAAGTTGGGATGCAGCTTCCCATGTGCAGTAAAGARTGAGGAAAGAGGAAGGGGATAAAAAACCAGCTGGCAGAAGGAGCATCCGATAGCGTCAGTGAAAATGAAGGAACGCAGTCAGTTTTGAAGTGCTCAGAAAGGCTGACAGTGTCTTAACGCTTGTCAGTGACGATTGGCTGGCTTTAACTCCTGGCTAAGGATAGAGCTTGACTCTGCAACTCAAATTTGTCATTCGGGGGATTTTTTGCCTCCATGAGAAATTTTTCTCTGCGGGGTAGAAAGCCCTTCTAGTGTGCTTCGAGTCATGGGCTTAATTCGGAGAGATGAAAAAATGCCTTCGAATGCATTTTCCTTTTATTGCTCGAGGACCTTCATCTTATCTCTTCTATGAGAAAGAGCCTAACGTCCTCCCGATCCCTGCTGGGGCTCCTGCAACATTTCCCACTGTACAAAAGCGCTCTGTCCATCTTCATGGTAGCCCTGAAATCAGTGTTGTGCAGGAAGACTTTCCCTCCCACCTATTTCCTAAATTGGCAGAAAATGTTGTTGGCCTCCTGGACCTCTCTTTACCTACTAAAGATGGAGTGCCTCTCATCAGCTACCGCAGGTCTTTTTTTATTTTATTTTTTTTTTATGTTATGTTATGTTATGTTATGTTATGTTATGTTATGTTATGTTATGTTATGTTATGTTATGTTATGTTATTTTTTAATAGTTCCCCCCTACGGCAGAATTTCATCCTCTTTCTCTGCCTACCCACATCGCTGCCCCTGCTCTCCCATGCAGACTGCTCATCTTTGGGCTTGGACTTCTCGTTCTCCTCTTGTTTAAGGCGGTGGAAAAGCAGAGGGATTTTAACAAGGCCAAGGAAGGGATGACCTTGTAAATGGTGTGGGGAGAGGCCTGCTCCCTCTGCACTCTCCAAAATGTGGGTAAATGCAAAAAAATGCTCAAGGTCTCCAGAGAGGCCTGAGGAAACTCACTTCACAAGGGACCAAGAGCCACGTGAGACAGATTGCAGTAAAAGGTTTAGTGCAGACAAGCAGACAAGGTTTCTGCTGTCTTCTTCAGGCCCTGAGATGGTTAAATCATGAAGATAAAGAGCTATATGATGTCCAAGACAGAGCAAAGCCTTATTTTATTATACATTTTATACCAAATATGCATAGGAGCTTGGTGGAACAGGCTTTGAGCTGTGAGATTTTCCCAATTCATCAGTTGCAAAAGGTGAATAGGGAAAGCACATTTGGCTCTGCAAGACATGGAGAGCCAACAGGACCTCTGTCCTGCCCCAGCATCTCCAAGAGGACGTGGTGATACCTTGGTGGTATCACCAAGGTGGTCATGAATGTCCTGTTGGTGGTGGTGCTATTGGGAGGGAGGTGAGCACTAAACCCCAWTGGTGACTCCTGCCCATACCGCAGGCTCCGAGAACGAGGTGACCCAGGTGAACCGGTGCCTGGACGCCGCCAAAGCTTGCAACGTGGACGAGATGTGCCAGCGGCTGCGCACGGAATACGTCTCCTTCTGCATCCGGCGCCTGGCCCGGGCCGACACCTGCAACCGCTCCAAGTGCCACAAGGCCCTGCGCAAGTTCTTCGACCGCGTGCCGCCCGAGTACACCCACGAGCTGCTCTTCTGCCCCTGCGACGACACGGCGTGCGCCGAGCGCCGGCGGCAGACCATTGTTCCTGCCTGCTCCTACGAGTCCAAGGAGAAACCCAACTGCCTGGCACCTCTGGACGCCTGCCGGGAAAACTACGTCTGCAGGTAATGTTGATGCTGTGCACTGTGCACTGAGCCTAAGAAGGTCCTTTCTTACGGGTTTGGGGTTGGGTCCTCGAGGAAGACCCACTGTGGGTCTTTGTTGACCCATAGGGTTGGTGTGTGGGATGCTTGCAAACACTTTCACAGATCCATCTTGTACCATCCATCTCCCCGAGCCCAGGGCAGCCTGCAGAAGCAGCTGGATCTTATGTGGTTACATAAGATCAACAGCTGACATTAGTTTTTAGGAATGCCTTTGACTTTGTGACATTTTAACTAGAACCAGCAAAATACAGTTGAGTCCTAAGCGTGAAAAGAAAGAGAAGTGATASCAGCTCCTCTGCATCGACACCAGTACACTGTGTGTGAGCTGCAGGCAGCGCTAGCCTGCAAGGTTGCAATGTCCAGTTTTTAATTATTTTGGATTGGGGAGTTCCTCAGATGAATTTCCAACAGTCATCTCCCATTAGGATATCATCTTTAAAGTATCTCATTGAAAAAAAATCACTTTATAAGGCACAATGAGGGCAGCAGCACTTAGCCCATCCTCTTGGAAGGGTGGACTGGAACTAATGCCCTCTTGTTTCTTCTGGAAAGCACCCCAGAAATGCTGGTGAACAAGAATAGCAAAACAWTGACCTGAAGCCGAAGTCACAAAGATGCAAATCCCTTCCCAGAACCACGACAGGTCCTGCTCAAAGCTTTCCCCCAGCTATGCAGGGGGAAATGGACCCGTATGGCCCTCTCCCTAACAAGACCAGAAAACCAGGTGGGAAAGAAGATGTTCCAAGGGGAGAGCGCTGCTTCCCTGGAGGCTGGAAGCCATTCCCACAAGTAGCATAGCTGTTAATTATCTGGTTCCTTGAATGCGTAATATAAAACATCCTCCAGAGACAGGGCTGGAGCAAAGGGTTGACGTGTGACCCGGTCAAAGCCAGCAGAGCAGAAACCACAAGGACAGCCAGGAACAAATCACAGCGCTTTGAAGAAACAGTTAGAGTAAAATACAGTAGTGCTAACCCTGCCTGTGCTATTAAGTCTTCACTCAGCTTCTTCAGAGCAGTAACCCCTTGGGTTCCTCAGCTTTGATGTGTGGGCTCTGCTAACATTAATGGTGTAAACCTTGCAATTAATGGCCCAAACTCCAAAATAATGCAGCAAAAAAAAAAAAAAAAAAAAAAAAAAATGGACCAGAAGAGTTTGTTTGGCAGTGGCACAGAGGAGGGGTGAGAAGGCTTGGGGCCTTTCTAGGGATAGTTATGCACAGAATTGGGATTGAAACAACAAAATAAAAGAAGGCTGCAAGGGAAAGGAAAGCGGGTTGGAAAATGCTGGTTAAAGTGTTAACGGTGGCAAGGAGCACTACTGAGTTGTCTGGAAGTCTATTCCRTCCAATAGACTCTACCGAGTCTATTTGGAAAGAGTAGTGTGCCCAGTTTCTCAGGGCTGTCCATGCAGAGCATATGCTAGAGATACTTTTTATGGGACACATGGAAGTCTTCTAAAGGGTCCTCATTTTAGGGGTCAGCAGTGCTAAGGCTTACTTGAGCTTCCTAAGCAGCTCAATTGCCTTATCTCTTTATCTGAGGATGGTTACTGCATTTTGGTTTGGGGCCTTCAGATATTTCCCTTCATCTAAAGGTGACCTCAGTGGTGCTGAGAGCATAATCTTTCAAGAGAGAGGACCTGGTCTGGATTGATGTTCTTTTCAGCAAACTGGACTGATGCTCTTTTTCAGCCCTAAAATAAGGGCTTTAGTCTCTGGGGGAAGTTATGCCTCAGCAGTCAGATAACGGCAACAGAGAACAAATCCTTCACTGTCTGCAACAGCTCTTCCCTTGAAAACCATCTTCACACATCAAAAAACCAAACATGTCTGCTAAAGTTGGACTTTTCTTGTTGGCCAAGAGAAAGTCTGTAAAGCAGCATCTATAGCAGCTCTCAATGTCTCCTCTTGGAGTGACGAAATGCACTTCTGGGTTTGCTTTGGGGTAGAGGATGTCAAATGTGGTATCTGTTCAAACTGGTTTAGCAATTCCTCTGCAGCATAGAGGACTTTATGAACATGACCCCTTCTGTGCAAATGTAGCAGTAACCACTCATGGCTCTGTGCTTCTATGTCCCTTTTTACGCTCTCCTTCCTTCAGGTCACGYTATGCAGAGTTCCAGTTTAATTGTCAGCCATCCCTGCAGGCTGCAACTGGTTGCAGGAGGGACAGCTACGCTGCCTGTCTGCTGGCGTACACGGGCATCATAGGTAAGAATTTGAGTCTTCTGCAGGTCTTCCTTCCAGACTCCTTCATGGGAAACATCCCTTGGTCTCTTACTCTGGCCAGTTGCAGTTTAGGAGAACAATAAGGTGCACAGCTGAGACTGAGATCTCAGAGAGATGCTGGTTATTATGCAGTGATTAAAGAAGGGACTAAAGCCATTAGAACTGGGTAACTTCAGGATAACTGCAGCTGGGTGAATTAAGCCATGCAACACGGGTTGCTGAAGCATCCTAACTTCACTGGGAGGTACAAACGGAGACGCAGGTACCTGGGCTGTCCCAGAAATCTGCTCTGCTAGTTGTTCTCTGATCCCACCTCTGGTGATGCCAGTGGAAACAGCTGTCCCTTGCCATCTTGGTGGCTTCAAAGGGTGACAGATTGGGTTTTTGGATGCAGCAGATACCCAGCTGGCAGCTGTTAGCCTACACACAGGCAGAGTCCAAAGAGAAGGGCCAACAGCCTTTGGACTTGGGCCATCCCGAGGTAAGGGTTAGACTGATAAYTCTTTGGATTTAGTTTCACTCCAGTTTAATTCTTCCTTAGTTGTCTCTGACCATTCTGCAGATTTAGTTTCCATCGCAGTGTAGAAATTTCCATAAACATCCAATAGTTTTTGAATGCTATTAAGGAAGCTGAGTTCTCAAGAGCTATCCATTCCTCCAAATGATAATAAATATATATGCATATATATACACACATATGTATGTACTGCAGGCTTTGCCAATGTTAGGATGAACAAAACAGATKCAACTGCCCCAATTTTTTTCCCTGAGAACCAAACAAACCTGCGACTTGTGCACTTGAAGGGTCTTCTTGTGCTGCTGTCATGGACAGCCTTAGCTGAGGTTATGCACAGAGCAACYCAAGAAAGAGTCAAGGACAGAAGTCATTGTTGGTTCTTGAAGGAAAAACTACCAGGCTCTGGTAATACTTCTCCATCCTGCTGGCAGGTAGCCCCATCACACCCAATTACATCGACAACTCGACTTCGAGTATAGCTCCGTGGTGCACATGCAATGCCAGCGGCAACCGGCAAGAAGAGTGTGAGAGCTTTCTGCATCTCTTCACCGACAACATCTGTCTCCGTAAGTATCTGCCCTGTACATGGCAACTCTGTCAGCGTGTGCCACAAGCTTCTGGAAGCTTTGGAGCTTCTGRGCTCCCTATCAGGGGGAGTGAGAGTACAAAGATATTCATGGCACAACCATTGCCCTCATCCACCACCCTACATAGATGTCCAGSTCCCATGCTTTCAGTGAAGGAGCTCTGAAGGTGGTCAGAGATGTTTTTAGGTGAGGTAGTAAAAGGGTGGAGGAAGAAATGGGGACAGAAAGATAGAGGGACTTCCTCCACCTTGCACAGTTGGCAAGAGTCRATGTGATCATATCCCATGTTTCTTAGGTCTAAGTCTGGACATCAGCCAAGATAAGATACTGATAATATGACTCTAAACCTACTGAGGCCTAAAAAAGCCTCCCAGCCTCTGGAAAAGCCTTGCCCAAGGCTCTATTGGTCCTGTCTCTTAAAAAAAAATGCCAGAAAAGTAACGTCCAGGACTAGGCACTTCAGAGGCAAACTAGAAATGCATCCTCTGTGCCCCAAAAATGACAAGTGCTGTGGATGTCTGAATTCATTAATGTTCTAGAGATGGCACATGGTYCGTCCTGCAGCTGTACTGAGGCCTTGGGACTGTCATACTTAAATAGACTTGACAAGGAGAATTTTCCAAACTAAGAGGCTCTCCTTTGCCAGCATTTTGTTGTGACCTTGTAGCACGGTCACAGGGCACATCAGGGAATACTTCTTCTTTCTCCCAACCCAATTCCTCCCACAAAACAGCAATGGTTCTATAGTTAGGTCAGTAGCCAGTTGTTGCATGAGTGCCATGTGTCATGGAGATTGGATAGCATCCTTTCTTCAGGAGCTGAGCTGTGATATGTGCAGACACAGGGAAGAAAATAGACTGGCTGAGGCAAGAGTGACAAGAGTAAGACAAGAGTGAGAAAAGAAAGGCTTCTCCTCTTTGGATTAAATTCATTTTCCCCTCATTGTGGAAGAGCAGGGAGGCAAGAGAGCTTCTAAAGTGGGTGGAGAGAACAAGCAGATACCTCAACTCTGATGTCCGAGTCTTGGGAGACTTTCAGGTTCCTTYGACTCCTTTTAAGATAGGTCTAGTTGAGTAATGGTCCCGTGSCACTTTGTCTCTTCCATGTTGCAATAATACCATGTCTTAGCCCAAGCGTGCACTGACCTGATCCCTACACTCAAGTGTGAGGGGGTATCTCTTTTATACTGTGACTTTGCCCACCAAATGTCCTTCTAGGCCTAACACTGTCCTTCCTGCACCTCATGGTGTCACAGATTGTATTTCCACAAGGACACATTGGGGACATTTTTTGTACATCTTGATTCCCCTCATGATGAAAGGCTTCAGGACCCTACAGGACCTRCTTTCTACCTCTCTGCATCCCACACACCATCTGTCCTCTTGGACATCAGAGGATGATGGCAGTAACTGGATGATCCATGGAAATGAAAGGAATTCAAATGTGAACACCTGCTTCCTACCCCTGTGCTTTTGATTTAGGCCTATACGAGGATGGTTGGTGTTGTCCTTCTAGTGGGACTTTCCACGGCAAGGGCTGAAATGACCCAGCGTGAGGCCCATGTCCCCATGGCAGCCAGGTTCATAGGAGAGGTGTTAACCTTGCTGTCACCGGTGGGTGCCAGGTCTCCTCGGCCTACAGCAGCCYGGGGTATGTGATGCTGCCTCTCTGCCTGCTGTGCAGAAAATGGTGTTTGCAGCACTAAGCAGGTGTCATAAGAGGAGGTCTCATGCTTGAAAGAAGCCAAGAGAAAGAGGCCAACAGCAGCTCCGGCCTCTGGTAGAGACCCTCAGCACTCCCCCCGGCCAGAGTTCATTGCTGTCCGTGAGGGATCCACACTGTATATGCCAGCCTGGGAGGAGCCTGGAGAAGGGATGTTTTGTCTCAGGAACGCTGCCCTCATGGCACTTTTCTCTGTCTCTTTTTCTGTCACATAAAGAAAATGCCATCCAAGCCTTTGGTAATGGGACCTACCTGAACGCAGCTGTGGCCCCATCCATCCCTCCCACAACACAGATGTATAAGCAGGAGCGAAATGCCAACAGAGCTGTGGCAACCCTCAGAGAGAACATCTTCGAGCAGCTCCAGCCCACCAAGGTAGGAGAGGGCTGACCAGGCCCTAGGAGATGCTTGACCATGAACATGCCTCTTCTACACCTTCCAGTCCTCCCCATTTCAGCTCCTTCCCTCCTCCACCCTGTGTCATTTCATCTCTGTGCACATATTCAACCCTCTTCCATCGTCTAGACTCTCTGGCTCTCCCTTTTCCTTATCCCTTGGTGTCACCTTGCTCTACTTCTAAGAAGAGGGCTATGTTAAYCTCTGACTTTGACTCCCTTCCTCCATGTGCTCTTATCCATCTCTTCATTTCACGGGTGCTGTGGAGAGACATGGAGTTTCTTAGAAGTACCTGGAACATCACTGGTCAGGGGAGCCAGGACAACTGGTTTCTGGTCCTTGCCCTCTTGCAGGGTGGCCACAGGACTTGATTTCAGCTCCCCAGCCTTCACTTTCCTCCCTTGTCATGTGGGGATCCAAGAGGTCACATTATGAGGCTTAACTGACCAAAGTTGGCTAAGCACTGGAAAACTACAATGGAAAGTTTCTAATCATAGGTAAATTGTTAGTATTAAAGTAATATTAAATTAAGATTATTATTAAATAAATAACTGTGAGGTTAATTTACTGATGATGACAGTAGTGTGCATTAAATATTTTATTATTAAATAAAAGGCAATGACCTTGATTTGCTGCCCACTAGAGTAATCTTCAGATTAAATTCTTTTGCTAGTGAATAATTAATATTGATCCTGATTTGCTGAACATACAGGTAACAGAAGCTGTCAGTTAACTAGACTCCAAGGACTGAGTGTGGACTTTGTGCTGGGCTAGCTGACACTTCCAAGAAGCTTCTGCACGAAGGTTTTAAAAGTCCCTTCTCTCTTTCCTTTGCTGGGAAAACACCCAACTCACTTCTCTATGCTCTATTTTTAAGGAAAATTTACCAGGTCTTGCAGGGGGCCAGGAGGAGCAGACCTCAGCTTCCCTCACTGCTTTGCAGGACCTTGTCATTCAGACATATACTTTAGGACATAAACTCGTTTGCACCCAGGAGACATCTGGCCTGGCCTCTGACCAGTGTTCCCCAGCACTGTAGCCTCTAGCCAACACGCAGYGGCCACTTCCCAGGACCTCTGGGTGAAGGACTTGGTGAACACATGTTGGTGGATGGCTGCTTTGCTGGGTGAGTGTTTCCCAACACAGTAGGAGGTGACATTGTAAGGAAAATAGGGGAATCAGGGATCAGGCCCACCTGATGTGTAACTCCATATGTCCAAAGGAGGAACAAAGTTCTCCTTCCAACCAACACTTCCCTCTCCAACCAAGTGACCAGTGTGGCAGSAGCTCTTCTACCTCTTGCACCCTTTTCCAGAGTACATCAAGGCACCAAACTACCTTCAAAACTATCTTCAACAGAGCTGATTTTGAGCAGGCCTCAAAATTAGCACCAAGGCTTTGAGATTGGCCACCCTGTCTCCCTTTGCCTCGTGCCCCCACATAGAAACAGGAAGGTTGCACCATTGAASCCCGCAGGCCTAACACGTGTGAAATAATTGCCTTTATTCTGGCATTGCCCAGTGGGATGGAGGCAGGGAAGGAATGCGCTGCTCACCCCTGCGCTGCCTGCTCTCTCTTGCAGGTGGCCGGAGAGGAGAGACTCCTCAGGGGCTCCACTCGTCTGTCCTCGGAGAGCTCCAGCCCGGCAGCTCCCTCCCGCCTGGCCGGCTCCCGGCTGCAGATGTGGCTCTTCCCAGCTCTCGCCGCGGTGCCCAGCCTGTTTTGGATGTGAAGCAGGCGCCAGGCAGTGACTCTCTTCGTGTCGGTTCCTTGGAAAAACAACCAGACAAGTCACTTTCTCTGGGGGGAGGGAGAAGCGGTGGGATGGGAAGGAGAGGTGAGTGTGTAGGCATCCCTTCCTCCCCCTGATCCGCCTGCCAATTTATTTGATTTTTATGAAATCAGCATCATTGAAACCAGCTCATTCTTGGTCCTGGCCACTTTTCCACTCCACAGCTTGGTTGTTGTCTCTCCAGCTCTCTGCGGTTGAGTCAGAGCCACTGGCAATTCCCTTGAAAAAGCTCAAAGGGGGAGTCAGGCCAAGGAATGAGACCTGCAAAGGAAATGTGTTTGCCTGCCCCGGACAAGAGGGGAATGACTTTTGATGGATGAGCTGTCAGGAAGTCTCCTGAAGATCTGACTCATGGTGGGGGGCTTTTGGCAGGACACGTCAAGAGATTTGTAGTTCAGATGGTCTCCAAGGTTGCCCAGGACCTAAAGAGCAGCCCATGTAGTTCAGACTGGAAAAAAAAACAGACACCCTGGTGGGAAGGCAGCTGATTTTGTTCATCAAAGAGGATCCTGAARCACCTCTGGAGTGAAGCAAGTGGCCGTGGTGTGCAGAACTGGTTTGCTGGATTCATCCACACTTTGCAGACGTGGTCAGCATGGAACTAGCGTGCATCTCCAAGCTGTGACTTACCCCTTGGCCTTCCTTTTAGGAAAACATGTGTCATGTATTGATGGTGTTCAGGAAGAAACACGTGTGTTGTGTTTGGTTTATGGCTAACTTTCTCACACCCCAACCCTAACACCTCTTTTAACTGGTCCTGAAATTKGTCTGGGATATGGTTTGGAGTTTTTGGGTTTGTTTGTTTTGTGTTTTGGAGGGGTCACATCTGAACAGCCAAAGGCTAATAGGCTAATACCATTCAACTCCAAGCTAACCTTGCTCAGCACAGGAGAAACGTGCAGCTCCACAGGCAGCACTTGCTGCAAGGGCAACATGATCTCTTCTTGTGCGCTGCTTGTGCATCTTGCAGAGAGACAAAAGATTTTGAGCCAGAGGAATCTCATTAGCTACACAATTAAGAGAAGAGCTAGAAAAAAGTTTGCCGTGCCCCCACTTGAGGATGCAAAATTCCAGCCAATTTATCCAAAGGCCAAAGCTCTCTAGATGTTGTAGATAGGGAGTGCGTTATTAGCGTTCCCCTTGCTAAAGACTGGAAGGAGCAACTGATTCTGATTTTAATGAGAAATTCCTGGGGGCTTGGTCCAATGTAAATCCATCTGTGTTTTCAAATGAACACGTGTGGAGATGTGAGATGTGCTTAGAGAATTTCCTGGCTACTTTTTCCTGAAGTTCTGCTCCAAGAGCCTCAGGGTTGTCCTACTCRAGGGCTGTGCAAAGGATCCTGGAACATCCCAAGAACCATGTCGTGCTTGCAGAGATACCAGGTCACACCTTGAAATGACATATGCACGTGAAATTTGCAGTTCCAAGAACATCCCAGCATTGTAAAATGCAGCCAGGGAAGCAGCTCTACAGGGAAGGAGGTCTCTGACCTCCCTTCAAAGTGCCATAGATCTGCACTGAATTGCCATGAACGATTCTCTTCTACATGGGGCATGGGTGTCCCCATGGTTTCTGGAAGACCATGAGACATCTGTGAACTGAGCAACAAGACTATTTGTTGCTCCCCTGTAAAACTTGTGTCCTCCAAGCCACATAGGAGAAAGTGATTAAAACCTGACTCAGCCCTTCAAAGGCAAGGAACTACCTCAGCATCATGAGGTCATGCTGTGAATTGCCTTCTTCTGTTGCTTTCCTTTAAAGCCCTGCACTCATGCCCTGCTATTCTACACACCTGACCCCAGCAAACTGGGTCTCCACCAGCCTTTAATCTTGCACGAGCTGGCTGAGTTTTGGTGTAGGACCCACACTTAAGCAGCAGCTGCTGTTCAGGAGGACCCACTGCTGCAGTCTCTCACAAGTTCACCCTGGTGTCTCTTGTAACTCACTGATGGTGATGTTAAAATGCCACTTTGCTGCTCCCTTCTGTGATTGRCGGAGCCAGAAGCAACAGTTTTTCTTTCCCTGTTGTTCAGGATAACCAGCAAACCCACCTCAGCTCTCCTCTATGGCTGGCAGCCATGAAAAATAAATGTGAGGATTCCTAGACTAAGGGGATGGAGGAGACCTCCAGAAGCTATTGAGACCATTACCCTTTCCCACTGCAGGGTCAAGGGTCTGTTAACGCTTTCTGGCAGATATCTCTCTAACCTGTTTTAACCATTCTGGAGAGCAGAGATGTCATCATCTCCCCAGGATTTATATTTCATATCAGCAATTCCTTAGGTTGTTAGGACTGCCTGTGAGCATTGCAGGCCAAGGAGACCTTGAGCCCCATTGCTGTCTCTTCTTGAGGCTTCCCTTTGAGGAGGATGGCAGAGCAGCAGCTAAGGAGGATGCAGAAAGTGACTGATGGCCACCATGGATCACATCTCAGAGGCTTTGCGTATGAAGACCGAAACCAGCCCTCATTCCTTTTCAAACCCATCACAGACCGTTTTCCAGCTCAGTTCTCCTTGGTCATGTCCGAGACTGATATCATGATGCCACCAAAGTTGTCTCTCCTCAAACCCTTGTGAGTGATAGACTCCAGACTAAGGAGTCACTGAATAAGTCCTAGCAGGGAAACCTTCAAAGGGTGCTAAGCAGCAATGCTGGGAATTGCAGTCATTCGAGCTCTGTGGAAATAAGCAACAAGTGACAACACTCTCTGCTGTAGGGTTTTCTCCAGCATGCCCTTGTTTATGGGACCTCAAAAGCACATCTGCAGTTACGGTTGCGYATCTGAAAGCATTTCCTGTTCCTCAACCCTTGTTCTGAGCTGTAAGGTTGGAAACAGCATCCTTCAAGCAATGGTCTGTGCCAGCTCTTGCTCACAAAGTTGTGTGTTTGTAAATCAAGGGGACAGGGCATAGAGTAAAGAGCCTGTCATTCCATCAGGAAAGAGGTGAGGTTTGGAATGGGTGGAAATATTGCATCTGATTAAAAAAAAAAGCAAGAAAAACCTGCATGACTTTCTATTGACCATTTCACCCTTTTTGTCAATATTTAATGACAATCCTCTCGCAAAAGCCCATTCACAAATCAGAATTTGCAAAAAAAAAAAAAAAAAAAGAAAAAAATGTTTTTTGAGCAGTACACTTGCGTGCAGTTGCGTGTGTGTGTGCACACACCTAAACACACACGGATCACTTCTTTTCCCTCATGAGAAATTGATATTCTTTTGTTGAAAGATCATGTCTGTTGAACTGTGTGAAGGATCTTTCATCCTCTAGATTAACCACCGAGCTCATGCAGCTGCTTGGGAAGCGCAAGGACTGAACAAGCCAGGAGAAAGGGAGACAACTTTTTAATAATTACTCCCTACCTGGGGACTTTCATAAGCACAAAGAAGAGCTGTTGAAAAAAAGAGAAACCACCAAAACTACCAGCCAACTTTCTGTAGCCTCCAAACTGCGTTTTTTTTTGGCTGCTCGGCACCATTCTCAGTGGTTTGCAGTTCCTCCCTGCCTGAAAGCCACCCTGAAAGTGAAATATTGTGCCGAAATATTGGGACACTGGGCAGGGAGGAGGACATTGTGGTGGGGAGCCAGTGCTGGAGCAACCCAACGGTTGTAGGGTGATGCTCAAGGCTCTGTGTGTGTGCCCGTGTGAGCAGGCAGGGGAGAAGGGATGGAAGGCTGATGCTGCTGGGGTGGAATCTGTACTTATCTCTTCTGTAAGCGTCAGTATTCAAACATATCCATTAATAAAGCACACATGCATTTTCCTGATGCCCTGCTCCCCTCTACATGGCTGGGAAGTCCATCCCAATGATCCTGTGTGGATGCCCTCCATGCAGCGCTGGCCTCACACCAGAAGCGAACTGGAAACTGGGGAGAGTGGGAAATGTGCAGGTGGGTGGCCAAGCAGCAGAGCTCAGGGAGCCAGAACGAAGCACTTGGCACCAATCCCAGTGAAGGGGATTGATGATGACCTCGATGGTGCCAGCTAAAGAGAGTCACCAGGTCCTACATCAGCAGCCTCCAATGGTCATCCTGCAATGATGCATAAAAATAAATAAAACTGARGAGAAATGAGCTGAGGCACCTGCTCAGTCTGAAYTAGATGGGCTCTGAACTAGCTGTGYGYAGCGSCTGTCAAAAAGGGGAACACACCAAGGCAGGGCAGATGTTTCTCCTCRCTAGCTGTGCAGCAGCCCCAGGGGCTTTGGCAGATGGTGGTGGAAGGAGAAGGGAACCCGTGGTGGTTTCTTAACCCTGCGCCCCTGGGTTTGGAGTAACGATGCACAGGCTTTGCAGGAGCTGCGGTGGCCTCTCTGGTGATTGAGCATGGACAACCTGGCTGGGTGCAGACCTGGACACATCAGTAACTGGAGGAGGTTGTCCTCCCTGGGTCCCATCCTGCTCTCCTGACTGTACCAGTGCAAAGGTTTAAGATGGGCCAGACGCAGAAGGAGTCAGCAGCATAAGCCATAACTTTAACATGGGAAACGTGATGGGGCTGGGGGGGGACACGTAGCAATGGGCATGAGGGATTCCCCTTGCTGAAGCACTTGGACAGGGTCAGCCCTGTCCCAGTAACCCCTTTGGCAGTGTCCGTGGGATGGGGCATCATCTCTGAGCCACAAGAGCAAGCACTAACAGCTCTGGTGCAGATGTCAGGGTGAGTACTGAGGCCAAACGTCATCAYGAGTGATAAAAAGGGAGCTTTATGACAGCCCAGCAGTGCCAAGGGAGTTCCCAGGTCAGATAACATGCACATCAAGGCACTCGGTGATTTTTTCACAAAAACATAAACAAGCAACCACAAAAAAAAAAGGCAAAATGGCAACTTTCATCACTTAGACACACATGCACGTGATACTACCTAAAAACAATTGCAGAGGTCAAGCTGGGAGGGGGAGTGATGGGTGCCATCAAAGGCATAGCCCCTTTAATCTGCATGAAGGTTTTCAGCAGAGAAGAAGAGCGATTTATAACCACGGGGAAGTGTAAATGCTTCTTTCCCCCTGTTGCCGTCCTGGCTTTATTCTAAATGGTAAACAGGGCCCCGCTCACAGCATGGAAATGTGCTGAATTAAAGACTTGCTTTGCCTGAGGCCACCGAAGAACTGCGGCATTTAACTTCATCCCACCTTCTTCCAGCACAGAACAAAACAAAATAAACCAAGTGACAAGAAAGCCTCTCTTGCTGGCTCTAAGCTGCAAATCCCCTGTCCCGTGATCCTGTCCCTGCTCTGCTGCCCTTGGCCACTGCCACCCACAGCAAAAGATGTTGGTAACAGGTCAGTCAGCAGGGAAGTTGAACCTGAGCTGGTACCATGGGTCTGGCACCAGGTGATTTATGGCTAGCAATCAGGGCCAAACACTTTAACACAAGGATCAACTTGCCAAGGTCATGGGGACTCTCTAGACCTTCTGTGCAATATACTCTAGGTCAACCTTCTTGAGGGAACTAAGAACTGAATGACTAGTTCTAGTCACACTTGGGGACTTAGACTAAATGATCTCCAGAGSACCCTTCTAACCTYGACCATTCTGTGACCTTCTCCATCCAGGCTGGGTGCACTCCTGTGAGATACACTCAACCATTGCTCAGGGTGCAAAAGAAGTAAGTTTGGGCATGTCCCCGTGTCACTGCTTCAAAGCAAGGCAAAGTAGATGATCCCAACTGTCCCACCAGTGACAGAAAGCCAAGGTGAGACCCAGCCCGAGCTGAAATTCACTAGAACTCTTCACTGAAAGGACCTGCTAGATTCTGCATGCTGTGTGACTACTTGATCTTTCAGGCTACGCTACAGGGCAGTGTGTCCTCATCTGGTCACCACACGGTGAAGTAAATGATTGGCCAGGCCACCTCTGCTCTGAGTTGTTGCCAGGAGTTTCCAACGGGTCCTGTAAATCATCCTAATTTTGTGCAGACAAGAAGCTTTTAGAGCAGCAGCATCACGGATTACTCCAAGGTGCTTTGTCCAACCCTTCCTTCTATCATCCTTTGGGCAGGGCCTGGATCTTATGGGTACTAGCAAAGCGTGGGACAAAACTCGGCTCTGCTCCCAGCCCGACCAGGGGTGACAGTGAAGTGAGTGGGACCAAGAGTGGAAGGCAAGGATAATTTGCTCTGATTCCCAGCTAGGAGCTTTGCTACCATCAGATCATCCACCCTCCAGGGCGAAAGGCATCGGAGGGGCTCGAGGAGCAGATCTGCAGAGGCAGCACAAGCGAGACGCTGCAGTTGATGTAAAACCACTGCCAGGAGAAGTTTACAGCAGAAACAGCCATTTACCATCCGTTATCTCAACGCAAACAGCACTAATGTGCTGATAGGGGTGGATGCATCTTGCTCTGGTTATTAAAACGTTGTCTTTCCTTGCTGGCTGCGGAAAGGGCTGATGTTAACCAAAGGGAACTAGTGCAGAATTAGCTCTGACATGAAAAATGTTCAAAGCACTGCTTCACAAGGGGAAGCAGAAAGGATCTCTGCTAGGAGCTGGGAATCCTAGGGAAGGCGGCGATGGAAACGCGGCCGGGCGCGCTGTTGGAGGCACGTCGTGGCTGCAGACTGGAAATGAGACCTGATAAAACAGGCAGCGAGCTGCTCGTAGGACGGATGGGGCGAGGCGGACTGCAGAGATAACTCAGGGCTCTGCTTCCCTTCCCCTTCACAAAGGTGCTTTGTGATCCASTCACTGCTTGTCCCTCCCTGCTAAACCTTCCCAGCTAATTCCAGGGGCAGACACAAAGACGAGGGCTGCCTAAATTCAGCTGTCCCCCAGCAGCTCTCACCAGCGGYGGGGTGGCATGAGGAGGGTCCTTGCCCTGCTCACACGGGAGCAAAGTCTGGGCATCGTTGCTAGATTCGGGGTGGATGGAGGCAGTTTTGGCTAAATTGGGCTAAATTTCCTGCAGATGTGGATTCTAAAAGGGAGCCAAGAAGACCCCATTGGACCTTCTGACTATAACTCCTGGCTAAACCAATATTCCCACCGCTGCTCCTGAAAGAACAAGGTCATKTGAGCCATCAAGGACCACTCTTCTGCACTGGCAGGGATGCGGGGGTAGATTCTACCTTCCCTAAGAAATCTGCAATCCAAACACCAAAACCGGAGCTGGAAACCCCAACCCTCCAAGGACAGCCTGGATCTGGCCTTGCTGCTGGTCCCAGGCAGATGGTCCAGCAACCCTTAAGCCCATCAGTAGGTCCCATCGGGTACCTTATTAATATTCCCCCACCCACTTCATCTTACGCCTCTGAAATTGCCTGCCAGTTATCATCTTGTCAGCTGCTCCCCTGTTTTGTTACTTCTTAATTAGTTTAAAAACACGAGGAGGAGAAACGCAAATTGATTTTGCTGAAACAATAGGCTGCGTTTAATTACTGGGATCTGGCTCATTGTGCGCTCCCCCCTTCTCCTGCGTCTCATTAATTGGAAAAGTCAAATGTTTGTGTTTCCATTGAAGCAAAAAGGTGGTTTTTTTTACAAGAGAGCACTGAGGCGAAACCATCTAAAGGGTGCCCATACCTTCTACTTGGGTGAGGAGAGATAACACTGTTTCCAGCCAAAATTGCTTTGGAGCATTTGAGTCAAGCTGATTGCTTTTAAAGACTTCCAAATGAACTTAAAACATCCAAAACGGACTTAAAGTAGCACTAGAACTACTGCATTTTAGGTCTGGACACACCACGCTGTGGTTTTGGACCTGTACACRCTCAGTCCCACTCTACAGCAACATCAGCATCCAAGTTTAGTACCAAGGGATGAAGGAGCACAACGGTCCCTGGAGACAGCCCTGACCTAAACCTTCATGGTACATAAAGGCCAGGTTCAACTCGGCTTCACATCAGCGATGCTTCATTTCAAAGTTGAAGAGTGACATAAAAATAAAGGGAGAATGACGGATCGCGCCGCTGTGGGAATCTGCATGGGCTCCCAAGGGKTAGGAGATGAGGGGTCACCCCTCGTTTTGCTCTCCCAGTTCTCGCATGCATCAGAAAGAGCAGCTGGCTCCAGCATTTGACATGTTTGCAAAATCAGGAGCAAAATTCCAGTCTGCAGAGCTGTCAGATTTCTTGTTTCGTTCAAAGAAAAGTAGGAGTTTACCAGGAAAATGACTAGTGAGAAGGAAAGGGATGGAAACTTGAATTTCTCCGAGGTTTACTCATATCCTGAATGCAGAAGCCATGAGCTACGGGGCAGAAATACAACCCTGTAACCTGAAAGCACAAGAACTGCTGTCATTCCAGCCCCATGCAACACATCCAGTTCTCCCACAAGCTCCTATAGGAAGGACACCAGGACATAAGACACTCAAACCCTGACAGCTTTCTCTAGTGGTGAACTGACCTTACAGAGAAGAAGCTAGTGCTCTGCTTGGGTCATCTATGAAGACTTCCTCTCTTCTACCACCCTTTATGGGGCTTCTCTGGGGAGGTGGAAAGGTTCCTCCAAAGAGTTTGGTCATCCTTGGGTCTCCAGGCTTTGGTGACCTTGTTCTYCAGAGGGAGGACATCCTGGTCCCATTGGGAGCAGAACCTGCTTGAGGAAACACCAGTCAGCAACACGAACACCCTGAGGTGTCACCACTTGATTTTCCTTCCTCCTATTTTAAAAGCAGAAGAACCAGAAAGCAAACGAAAAACAAAGTTTTTTTTTTTTTTTTTTTTTTTTAACCAGATCATCTACTTTTTATTTCAGAGGAAAGATTTGCATTATTTACTTTTATTTATATACATGGACTTCACATTTGTATTTAAAATGCACAGACCTCCCAATAATTTCCTCGTTCCTGCTTTAAATTAGCTGTTATTTTACAATACAAAAAATTATACCAAAAAACTGCAGTCCTAAATGTGTGTATGTATAACACCCACAATCCCCAGCGATGAAATAGTTTACAATACTCGCTCGGTATTTACATATGAATGCAAGAAATGCTAAATTATACATATTAACAAACTAAGCTCGAGTCTGAACACGGAGAAGAGTTGTAAATAATTAGAGAACAAAAAAAAAATTGAGAATATGATTAGTCCAAGGATCCTAGYGTAAAGAACATTTATTGTGCACAAATTTCAGAGTGATATAAAATCCGTTTTTTTTTTTGTTTCGTTTTTTGATTTTTTTTTTTAAAAATGGACCAACATATGTTACACTCCTCTGCAAATATTCTTTTTTTCTCCTTTCTTCTGGAGAGGTTTGTGGAGTCAGTGGCAAATGGAGAAGTGTCTAAAGAACTACAGTACCTGGAAGACACACAAACAACAGCCCACGTGTAGTGTTGGGATGATGTGATAAGCTGCGTTAAAGCTGTCCTGGTGCAGAAGCAGAAAAGAAGTAAAATAAACAAACAAACAAAAAAAACCCCAGCATTATATGCATTATCGCAGSATTTCTAGCATGTGGGAAAATTATCTCAGTGAGGGAGGTATCAAGGGAAAAGTGGAAATTTGAGTTAAATGACCAGCTGCTATTCCAAAAACTGGAGCCCTGGGTCTCTGTGTCCCATGCGTTGGCTCCCAGGTCCCTGGGGRCTCCTTCCCAACCTGCTCTTGTGGTGGGCCAGCATGTAAAGCTCCACTCTGGCCTTCCTTATACTCTTATTTGTTAAATAAAGCCCCCTGGAAACCCAGAGAGAGCGGCAAGACGACTCAAAAGTCGCACCCCATAAAACTTCTTGCGTCCAACACCCTGGCCCATCTTGCGGCGGGGTCCTCTATTGCTCCACTACTACAATCCAGAGAAAATTCTGGGCTAAAAAGTATGGACAATGGCGAACAACAACAACAACAAAAGTACATTATTTGGAGATGCAATGGCACTGCTGCTTTYTGGAATAGGAGCGCTGCAACACATATATGTATTTATTTTTATATATATRTAGTAAGAAAGGCGACTCTCAAAGGATAAAACCACTCTGAGGGCTGAGACCTTGAACGCTGAATTTCTGCTAGTTATAAACTCTTGCAAACAGTGGTTCTGAATGGAAATCACTGGCATGATCTTAATGATAGAGGCTTAAACTGCTGACTTAATCCCCCAAGTAATGACTACTTTAAGTACATTTATTACCTCTTTTCAAGTGCTTTTTTTCTTTTTTTTTTTCTTTCAAATGGAAGAGCCGTATTTTACGTTGCCGATAACTTTAAGTGAAATGCATTTGAATACATAAAAGTGAAGTTATGCCCTCCTGCTTTACGCTGCAAGATATCAGGAACATAATCAGATGTTTCTTTAAAGCTCTGGAAAGTTATCTCATACCCATCATATGAAGACGTTATTATGACAAAACTCTTACATCATTTAAAATGCATCAAAAATACATTCAATATTTTGTTTCTGGTTTATATACAGTTTAAATCTTCCCATGTTCTGCACACTACTGTATAGTTTATGTACAAGTGCAAAGTTGGTGTGTTATTCTTCATTTATTTACAGATTCTCCCACGAAATAAGGTTGCTCTTTCGTGCCTCCCTCACCTCCAGCAACACAATCCCACAAATCCTTCCCTTTTGGTCCCGTCCTGGGGACAACCAGCAGCAGCTCTTCCCTCCAGCCATTCCCACCGGGGTCTCGAGTTCACCTTGGGGCTGGGATGAAACTGTTTGCAGCAGAGAGATGTACGAGACTTCGCTTCTATTTTTTCCTCCCTCATCAGCTTGGAGATTAGATGCAGAGTGACATCCCAAAGGGGCAGTTTTAGGGTATTTATATAAATAAGTCTCGCTGTATTTACCTATTATTTTTCYGTGGAAAGCACAGAGTGTGGATCACTTTTGCCTGCCTTTCGAGGCGCTGGCACTTAACTCTTGCAGCTTGAGCTCTGGGCACTCTTTGCAGGGACGTCTTTGAGATCAGACTGTCCAGCTCTTTGGGAGAAGAAATGCTGATTTTTGTTACAAATAAAACCAGATGACACTTACAGGCCTGTTATTCAGAAAGCCAAAAGCGGCGGAAAACCTAAAGCGACGACTTTAAGCACCTGCAGGAGAGTTTTCTCTATTTGAGCTGGCAGCTTTCCTGCCAAAACCAAAAGCATTGGGGGGAGCAAGAAATGACAGCTCCGCACACGACGCTGGGCATCAGACCTCGCACCACGCCGAGCAGGAACAGGGCAGGACCTGCAGCCCCGCGTTATTCCTCCAGTGCAGTCTATTCAGGTTAGCCCTATGCACGTAGGAAGTCACCAAATCTTTCCAGGAGATGAATCTGTCTGAGGTAATCTGTGCATCGTCTAAAATTTAATCGACTAAAACCCTTCATTCCCAGCGACAGAGCTCAGCCCTTCCCTCCCTCAGCTTGCCTTCCCCAGCGGGCAAAGATGCTTCTGCTTTAGAAACAGATTGGGGAATAAAMCCCATATATTTATAGGGAGAAAGATGCATTTTTCACAGTATTTTTCTTWTTTTTTCCAAGGAAGTGTTGTACTTGCTAAGAGGTATGTCGGATCAGGACGGGTGTCTGCAGACACCGTGAAAGCAGCAGGTTCTCCTGCATGGCTACCGCGCTCTATCGCGATACCAAAACAAAAAAGGTYCTCCAAAACACTAAAAAAAATTAAAATAAAAACCAAAAATCAAAAGAAAACAAAAAACACAGGAGGAATGAGTGGCTCGTACGTGACAGGTCACCTAAACATGCACACAAAAAAAGATGCAGTTACTTCRGTTTGGAAAAAAGCTGCTACATGGCTTAAAAAAAGGTCAACGGCCCTTCCATTCGCCTCTCCTCAACCTGCTACATTTCCATTTGATCACCCCAAAGGGCCCTCGTGAGAGACCCAACATCAGGGCTCCCAATGAAACCGAAGCAGCTGCGATTAGGCAGCAATTGCACTCCTCGATTGGCACCTTCCTCCAACACTGGCCTCAGCATCACGACTGCTCCCAGGCCACCTGCTTCAACACCTACCATAGTCTAACCTGAAGGGGGACTAGCCAGAATTCACCATGTAAAACCCAAACCTGTGGCCAAATGAAGCTGCTCTGTTTGCCTTAAGAAAAGATATATATAAATATATGTGTATATATATATTTTTTTTCGGGACGCTCAGATGACTTGGTACCTGGAGTGTTGCTCTCTACACCCTGCAAGGAGATAGGGGAAGTCTTATTGCTGAAGAGCAGCACCTCTGAGCCCCGGTGCAGCCCCAAAGAACAGCCAAGGGAAAGAGGTCGAGTGGGCAGAGAAACTCAGAAGAAAGATCATATCTCAGGCCTGGAACACAAACTGCTTCAGTTTAGATGGCTGGTGAAACCAGGAGTTCACTTACRAGATGCTGAACCTCAGTTCTATTTTCCCTCCGGATATTTCCACCTGGCTGAGTATTTCTCTGGTCAGGAAAATGCCATTTTCCCCTGACTGCACATGATATATTACAAAGAGCACGTATTGCCTTGGGTGACTACACATATTTTTTTTTTTAAATGAACATAATTACGTAAAAAAAGAAACGTGTGTAGCAGTCTCCTCGCTCCCTAGATCTGTTCAAGTCTAGGCACTTGTGGGTGGGGTACTCCAAGTAGGTTAAGACTATGTAAACACTGAGTCCTTCAAAAGCAACATTCAGCTTCTACAGGAATTACATTTGGTCTGAGCAGCTCACGACATCCGCCTCAGCATCACCCTTTTACTCGCCTGATGTCCTGGAAAATGACTACGGAAAAAAACGTATCCGGAAAAGACATCCATTTAAATAATGTTGGAAATAAGCATATACATTAAATGAAAACAAAGGATGAAGATGCTTTGAAGATTAATAGTAGTGTTTATGTGTTGAGAGCTGACACCTGTAAACACTGCATCTTTTTTTCTTTTTTTTTTTGTACAATTTGATAAATACAGGAACTACAAAGCACTTTCCATGTATAAACCTGAGTGTCATTCATATTGGACTACTGTTCTATTTACACTGACCATGAAATGAGGTGATCGGATGTTACTGGGCCTGCGATAAAATTATTTCACTTTAAACTTGAGGAAAACAAAGGAGCAATCTGAAGCCACGTGTCAGTAAAACTTAAGTGGAGCAGTCGTCAAATAAAGCCAACTATCACGTAGATGAGAGAAAAGGTTGGGTTCAAGGAAGTTGTGTTTCTCCGAGTGCTTCTAGTCACTTGTGACACAACTTGGGAATCTTCCTCCTCCTCCTCGGTGTTACGGTTCCATTTTGTTTAAAACACTACACAGTTTCTGATGTCCATGCATCAAATACAGGTTCCTGGCTGTGCAGGGGGCTGCTGTTTCCGATTTCGTATTGCACCCGATTTCTCTTTGTAGGCAATTGGCATCTGTTGTGAAATGTCCACCAGTGCACTGGCCACTGCGAGACCTGCAGCAACACAACAAAACGCTCATGCAAACAAACATCAAGTCACCAAAAGAGCTGCTATTACAAAATAAGCAAACGAGAAAAGCATTTTGGTTTAGAGGTTAAGCTCTAGAAGCTTTTAAATACTGTGTGTTCTCTGAAAGCAAGCACAGCAAAAAAAAATGTTGGAAATAAAAACTAGAAGAATCAAGGGATGTGAAAATCCTGATATTAAAGGGAGGAGTGTTTATCTGCACCAGTAGATGTGCTAGAATAAATTCCCCCCCAGACCCCTGTGCATGGAGGCTTCATTGCACTTCCCAGACCTGCATCCTCTCCACATCTCCTCCTGATGCATCCATAGGCAAACCACCGTGGCCATATGGGATGTGGTTCAACAGAGCTCACCACCAACCCACCCTGTCTCAAAAGCTCAACTAAGGTTCTTGTCAGACCTCCTGCTCCACCACGCTTGGCAGGCTCTGCAGAATCTCCAGTGACACCACAACCAGCCCAGGAATTGGCATCTCTCTACAAGGGAGGTTAAGTGAGAGGGAGATGGGAACAAGGGGAGATCTTAGGCTAGAGAGAGAAAAATACTGTCTGGAGCTACTGGGCATGGCTGCTTTGGAAAAACTGGATCTCCCTCCAAGGACGGAGCCAGGAATATGCTGGGAGACAAGTTACTTTTATACCTGCCCCTTGAGAACTCTGCTCTGTAGCAGGTCCCAGCCATAACGAACCGCACTCCAGACATCAACCTCCAAGGTGGAGGAAGGGGCACAGAAACCAACGGGGAGCCCGGGGGTCCCGTTCCTCACCTGACTGTCCGGGCGGTGGGATTCCGCCCAGTCCCCGGGGCAGCCGCACGAACACRGAGAGAACAGCAGCTTTGTTGCCAAAGCAGGGCTCCAGCGCGATGGGCTTTGGTACGGTCTGCAGCGAGGCAAGGACAGGAGAAGAACAAGAGTTAGACAATGCGTGACACCCTCCCCTCTTCCCTGTCTTGGTCGTCTTCTGATGGCACGAGCTCCTGGGCTCAGAGCACATTCCACACCAACGCTCCTCACGCAGCTAGCGCAACTAAAACAAACGTTATCAACAAGCAAATCCAAGTCATCGTTAAGAAAAACACACATTTTGGCTTAACAAAATATCCCTAAAAAAAAGTCAAACACAGCACACGGCTCGTATTTCCCCCGAAACACAGCAAGGCTTAAGCTAGACAGTGGGATTGAGTTTCTACCTCCCAACATGCTGGCAGCGTCTCACAGGTATTTGTAGGTCTGACCACTGGAATCAGACAGTCCGACTTTCATTGCAATTTTCATTCCCCATTTCAGATGTCAACTGTGTTGACAACTATGAAGATACATGGGGCAGCCAGGCAGCTTCCCCTGCAGGAGATCAGGCCTGGCTGATCCTCAGTGTCCAAAAGAAGGACCCCTGTGCCTCAATGTATTCTTTATAGCAAACATCTTATTTGAATAAACAGCAGTAAATTGCAAGATAAAATAAAAAAGAGGCAATGTGCCCGAGGCCTTTCAAAAGTAACAGCACAGCATGGAAAGGAAGAAGAAAGGAATGGAAACCCATTCCCTGCTCAATAATTTTGAGGGGGATGTCCCACCTCTCAGCTGCAAATTCAAGTCTACATGCACTGGTAAGGAGAAGTGCTGGCTTTTCTCTCACATAAGCAAAAACGCTGAGAAAAACTACTTTATCCGACACACTCAGTGCTTTCTAATTTCTTGTTGATTATGGACAAACTGTACTCTGGTATTAATGAAGTAATTATTGCCTTTTTCATTAGGCATCAAATTGTGCTACTGTACACGCGCGACAGGAACTCAATGCAACCCAGAACAGGGAAGGGAGGAACAGGAGTCAAACACACACAATTAAATTACTGCTGCTCAATAAAGAAAGAGAGAAAAAAAGAGATGACAGTGAGCAAAATGAAACTTAAAGCTGTTTCCATATCTCACATTTACCATAATGATTGCCACAGCGATTTGTTAGGCTGTGCAAGGTAGATAAATCCGCGCTCTATGGACTATAACCATAAAGCTGCAGCCTGCCTTGTTTATGGCTGCAGTTTTCTCCATCTCCTCTCCACCCCCAGCAAAGGGASCGACCTCAAAATGGTTCTTTACCCAGGACACAACCAAGCATCCCCTTGTGCCACACAGCCCACATGGTGCCTCAAGCACCGGGGTAATGGGGAAGCAACCACAAACATCCCGTGCAGGACGGGAGGATGTGCTGAGCTTTACAAAGCCTATTTCCATTCAGAGCCAGGCAACTACCTTGCTTGCTGCCCTCTAATAAAACCAGGATTTGGCAGGGACACAACCCTTCCTCTCATCCGCAGCATGGACAAAAGGGAGCGTGGCAGGGGAGAAAGCAGCATGGAGGATGAGCCAGGATGAGATTATCTCCTATAATCTCACTTTAATGTATTCTCTTTTAACTCCTCCTGGTTTAATGAAAATGTTTCTGCTGCTCCGTGACGGTTGCAGGATCCAGCCCTTCGCCAGCACAGGTGACTGCATGGGAAGATGCTCCCTTTGCTCCCTTTCCAGAGCACTTGCCTTTTCTGCCTGTGTCACCTCCACGAGACCTTTCYGAGACCTGCTGCTCCCAACCCGCGCTGCTCCAAGAACCAGGAACCTCCTCCTAACCTACTTTCCTTCCCACCTCAATTTATTCAGCCACCTCATGGTCCGTGTTCACCCTCTCCCTGGGCTATTCTCTACTCAACATTTCAGCCTTTGCTGGGCTTGTCCGCATGAGCAAAGCTCTTAATTTCTTCTCTGCACAAATGCTCCACCGCCCAGGTCTCCCTCTCGTCTCTGGATGGCGGGTGAGCAGAGATGCCTGCAGCCGTTCAATCCTGGCCACGATCTCTGCAACGGTATCAGGAAGCCTCCYTATTCCCCAACGCATACTAAAAAGGTAGGAAAAAATAAAGTGCATTACACTGCTTACGGTCACCAAGCTGGAAGAGACGTGGAAGGTAACTCAGCTCATCTCAGTCCCAGTTCTCCTCTGCCCTTTGCAACTAATGAACCCGCAGCCTATAGCAGAAACTCTCTTTACTAGCCCCTCTGGGCATGAACTTTCCTTTTCTAGAGGGTTTTTATTTTTATTTCATTACTCAAGGTCACCTCTTTTCCTCCTCTCCACTCTCCGGATCCCACCTGGGCCCATGAGGAGCTCTTTGGTGTGTCACTGGTGCTGAAGAAGCACCTCAGGGAAGCAGGCAGCAGTGCTGTCCCCAGACGAGGGACAGCAGCGACCCCGGCCACACGCAGCTGCCTGAGCTCAGCCCTGTGTCACAGGGATGAGTTCGAACCTCACGCTGCAGGGAATTATTCCCCCCAAGCAGTTGTTCCACAGATGGGCAGAGGAGGCAGCTCTGCGATTCCTCCCTTCGTCTATCTGTTCAGAAGGGCCGAGCTTTAGTTAATATATATATAAACACATATATTTTATATATATATACACACACACACACACACATATATATATATATAAAATGTTGCTGCATGGAGGCCTTGGTTTCTATTAATCATTCAAACCAAGGATGTGTATTTGCTCTGTGATCCCAAATCAGTCAGACAGCTGCAGATTCATCTGGAAAGCCCACGTGAAGGACAAGATCATCTCGTTTCAGTTAATCCTGACCTTAAGTCTAGAAGGAGCAAAGTGCTCTAGTGCCCAAAGCCAACTGCAATTCGATGCGAGCCKGAGGTCAGATGGCAGCGAAGGGCATCCGAGACCTTGCTGAGCTACATCACAAGCTCGCGTTGGAGCTCAGGGACTGTCTGGACATGGAGACAAATACATGGATGCTTCAAAGAGCAACTTAGAGGACATCCTGACAGCATCTTGCCTGTGCTGAGTAAAACCTGCAAGCTGGTCTTGACATGGGCCCAACAGGTATCTTGCCATGACCTACGCAGGTGCTATCTCCATACACATTTCAGAATGCCTAGGAGAAGACAGAAGGCTTGAGCATGGTTTTGTTTTATGGGGACACTCGAGAAGAGGTGGTGTCTCCTTTCCTTCCCSACCCTGGCAGGTCTTCTGCATCCTCTCCTTGCAGACCCGAGCTGCTTTTCCACTATTAGGGCCAAGGGGTCTCAAAAGACAGAGACCAGGTCTTCTTGCTAGTGAAGATCACAGTGAAGAGCACTGCCTGTGCTTCAGCCTGGCGGCTGGCTTCTAATTGCCCACTTAAAAGAAAAGGAATTACACCAATCTCCAAAGTTTGCAGCACCTTTCATCAGAGGGTTAACACCAGCCGCTGCCAGGGACCTCCATGTGGAGTGTTTTGATAAACCCGCTGCTGAATTGCATAAGCAATTCCCTTTTATTGAAGGCTTAATGGCACAATAAAGTACACATTATTCAAATCTATGCAAATCAGGTGCCTCCCTCAGCCACTTGGCACACAACYGCTGCTTTGCCTGGCCTCTAAATACCTGAATCCCACGCGGGGAGCCGGGACAGACGGAGCCCAGCTGCTGGACCACGGATGGCAGCTAAAGGGACAAAAGGAGTCCAGCTCCTGTGCACAGAATGGGAAAAGCCCCATGAGGAAGGAGTCAGGCCCTTGACAAGCAAAATAAGCCTTTCCCTTATTTTGTCCCCAAAAATGAGCTTGGAGGAACCACAGGATTTGCAGTCTGGTCTCCACTAGGATGGAGGGCAGTGAAGGGGGACAGCCCTAGATCACTGCAGCCACCAGTCTATCAGCCAGKCTCTTCGCTCTAAAACTATTATTTGTCCTTAAAAGAAACGGCGCAAATGGGCTGGAATGACAGCTTTGCACAGCTGGAAAACCTGAGCCTTCCTCCTGCAATGGACTTCAGTGCTCAGCCAGAGCAGCAGGGCAGCCACCAACAGGAACAGCGCTGAAAAACAACCCAAGAAGGAGCCAGAGCAGGGCAAGTGCCAAGCAAAGCCCCCAAAATATCCCTGTGTCGGTTTATTATTTATATTTATTTAAATMTCCTTGCAAAGAGCAGCACGCACCATCACTGCGACCACGAGCCCTGCATTATGCACGGCTCGCAAGCTGTGAACACTCTCTTTGGGGATGAAAATATAAAAGCTGGCTTTTTATTAAGTGCTGCCACAACCTTCTTGTTCTTGGAGGCAGGGAAAAATCCAGCAACTCTCCATAAACGTCTTTATTGGCCAAAAACAACGCTACAAAAGCCAGGCAATTTGGGTTGTTTATGAGTTTTGATATGTACTTAATATGTGGAAAGCTCGAATAATTAGAGGAGTTAAAAGCAGTAAGGGACCTATTAGGTCATCCAATTAGTCGGCCTCCCAGCAGCAGTATTTTCTGTGAACACAGCGCATTTCCCAGTACTTGGGGCTATTTCCAGGCGTCCCAGGTGCTGTGGGATCCATCGGCTCCCTTGGGAGACAATTTCATAGCCCAATGCACTTGACAATCAAGTTGCATCGGGTGATGCGCAGCCTAAACGCTTCCCTTTTATTTCACCTAATTATTTCTATTTATGTCGTTTATATTCGACTCTAAAGGYTAACAATATGCTACACAGAACTAATACCTAGAATAATAAATATTCTGTGTAATTAAAAAAAAATCCCACAACATCAATTTTACTTAGGTTCTACAATACTTTGTGCAAGTATATTGTTTTTCAAAATATATATTAAAAAAATAAAAGCAGAATTTCCCCTCAACAGGAAAACATAGTTCTGTGGTTTGATTAAATAACTCTTACATGGTTTTCAATTTCTAAGAAGGAAATTAAAAAATAGCAAAAATACTATGTGGGGGAAGAGGGGGAGAGAAGTACATTATTTGAAACTATTTAACTTGATTATTTGATTTCACTATTTCAAACTACTTAACTGTGCAGAAAAAGGGCAAAATGCCACTTGCAAGT